TCAAGACGACAACTGTTTCTGTCCCTCACCTTACCCTGTAATGAATGACGAACTCTATCGCCTGTCTTCAGGCAGATGAATGATGCCCGGATTGACCGGCCAAGCGAAGTCATTCGCGCATGTGTAATATCAGGTGCTGAACACCGACTTTAGAGAGGATTGTGAAATAACTCAGAACCAATGTGCAAGTCGATGAAGATGTATTTGCTCTCCGAGCATTGGATGGCGGGGAAGAGTGTAGCACGTATGGTGCTGGTCAGTCCTGACTGCGGTCATTGTATATATATATATCTTGCTTCCATCTACGGGAGGAAGTACTTGGACGCAACAGCTCCTCTTCCTGCAGGAAATACACCGCATTATGGCGTAATATAAGGTAACAAGATGAGCAGACGGTGCTGGAAGGGGATCGTAAACTTCATTCTTCCTGCACCGGGGAATAACTGTTGAATGCAATGTCGTGATTTTTGTTTCGACGCGTTCGAGTACCGAGATGACCCCAAGTTGAGCCCCCTGGTCCTTCCCAAAAGGGATTAGTGGCACGATCTCGCTGTCCAGGAAAATCGAACATGGTGGAAGCCACGATCCATGGGTCCCCCTGCTTTGCCTGGGCTATTTCCATGTTTATCTACTCCATACATATAAGANACGCTCTATAATGCCAAGCATCTCCACAATATTCCACACAGCGCGCTCGTGCTGGGACCGTACGGGCGACCGCCGGATCTGGTCCCCTTCGGGATCGTGCTACTGATCGTAGAGGATATCGGGATTGCGCGAGTCTTTTCACTCATCCAGACCGTGGTCCTGGCGAGTGAACAGCACCGCGCTATGGTCCGGAAGCTCATCGTGGTTTGGCAAATGGAGGACTTAGGTACCGCGCGTCGCAGCACCGCATCCTGTCTCCCCGAACGGTGGGCTGAGCTAACACGGTCTAGATAACCGTCGGTGGGTGAACATGCAGCATTTGCTGGACCTCGATCGCCAAGAATTCAAGGTACCACGACCGCCGACCAGCCGCGATCCATAGGCTGACCGTGATAGATCCTCCGATTCGTCCTCTACTACCGTCGAAACCGCAAGAATGAGCCCTCGCGGGACCCCGGTACGAGGGTTCGATTCATGAAAGGGTCTGTGGATGTGGCAGAGATGATAGAGACGTCCCTGAATACGCGTCGGGGGAGTATGTTGGTCGGCGGTATGAACCCTCGTCGATGCCGGGGGAAGGCTGATGCGTCCGGTGAAGCCATACTAACGAATCATCGTCTCTAGTCTGTGCTTGACAGCTGATCCGTAACCAGGTCAAGGCCATCGTTCAGCCCAAGCTGAGCGATGACCTCCGGCTCCTAGATCTTAACGTTGAGCCGTATCATCAGTGGTTGGACATTGACACAACGGTGGCCACTATCGGACCATCCAGAAACCACCTCCAATGGATCGCCTCCCGAATCGCTGAAGGCCGTGGTCATTCCAGCTGACCGATCTACCAACGGTCCTTGTTTGACGAGATCCCGTGCAAGTTCAATTGGACTACCAGGTTTCCCCTGCACGTTTTTATCCCTACGCTCATGCTAACCCAGTCAACGACGATTCCTCACGTGTCTACGCTCACTTCGGGTCCAATGCACGGCCCCAGCCAGGAAATATCGCGACCGAACGCTCCATAGTATCACTGCTCCCAGCATTCCGCTCCTTCGGCGTCTTCGCGCCTGCGCAGCCCGTCCGACGGCGAGAACAGACTCCTATCGCGGGATACGTTGATGGATCGTGGTAGTGTCGGCAATGGTAGGCCCGCGATCGCGTGCCACCGCAACGGTGGCACTGTAACCGGCCAGACCGTGCAGCCGACGAGACTGGTTCCCTGGCGCGTCTGCCTGACCGAGGTCGGGACGAGTCCACCCGAGGACCAGGGACCCGGGACACGTATGGGACACTTCGGTGGTTGGTAGAGCCATCTGGGGCGGAAGCGCTAGGGCGCGTCCGGCTGGTAGTCAGCAAGTGCCTGGCTGATCTCGCAGGGGAGGGCATACCTCGAGGTCAGGGAAACGTGCACGCCCAGCTTCCCCAAGACCCATACCCAAATACCGTCTCGCCAGTTCATGTTGTTATCTCGAGGAGGATGGCAACCAACGGTCTAGACTTCTCGGCCGGGGCCCATGTTATATCGGACTGTCGGCGCCGAGTGTGGCCTGGCGATAAACATAGCGGTTGCCCACGTCTGAGTGCAAACGGTCATCCTTGTTCGGGCAAACCCTTGGCGGGGACGACAGCCCGGTCTCACAGCCCATTGTGTCGGCTGTTGGCACCTGCAATCCCGTCTCTGAGTTCAGGGCATTTCCAGACATGTCCACTCCACATCGAGTGGGCCGCGACACTTTTCCAATGGTGCGACCTGAATCGGACATTTCTCTGGAACCTGTCAAGCACCGGGTTACCGGAGATGATCCCAATGCCGTCCGGTCGCCAGCCTTATCGTTTACCTTCTCTGGTGTAGCTGCGGTCAATTCAGAGGGTCAGTCACTGATCTAGAAAGCGATTACAGCGGGGTGGAACAGCTAACATGAGCAATACTGGAAAGTATCTGGGGTTGAAGGAGCTCTGGTCAAACGCGGTCTACTGCCGTCAGGCCTCATCTGGGTCGTCCGGTGGTCTGGGCCCCTTGGAACAGCATCCTTTGCTCACTGGTTTGCTCGGCCATTTGAGGACACGCATCGCTTCGAACTCCCGGAGGCGGGCGGAACGGGACTCTGGAAGCCGGGAAAATAGAAGAAAGTATCCATATGCTAGGCGACCTCATCCAAAGGGTTTCATACCACGAAGATGTGCGATGAGATCCCCGGTTAGTGGTAAGTGACGCGCAAGATTGGCCATTGGAACGCGTCTGGGAAGAAGTGTATGTTTTGGGGGACGCGCTAACCAGCCAATGCAAGGGCGAGCCAAATGGAAGGCTATCTTACGTAATGATCCTATTTCTTGGCAGGGCCACGAAACACCGACGAGGAGGTGAGAGAGAGATGGACGGCAACACCCGCATGCGACCGCCCGTCGGTCAGTCCCTTGGGCTGCAGTTCTGTGCTTGTCGGAATTCTCCGGGCAAATGGCGCCGTGCAGACTCGTAGTATCTGTGTTTCGGACAGCTTGGATGGGCGCGTCGCTGATAGAGATTTACTCTGCCAGTCCCTGCAAGCCCGTCGCACACAAGATTTTACCGCTGGAGCACAAGATGCGACTCAAGACGACAACTGTTTCTGTCCCTCACCTTACCCTGTAATGAATGACGAACTCTATCGCCTGTCTTCAGGCAGATGAATGATGCCCGGATTGACCGGCCAAGCGAAGTCATTCGCGCATGTGTAATATCAGGTGCTGAACACCGACTTTAGAGAGGATTGTGAAATAACTCAGAACCAATGTGCAAGTCGATGAAGATGTATTTGCTCTCCGAGCATTGGATGGCGGGGAAGAGTGTAGCACGTATGGTGCTGGTCAGTCCTGACTGCGGTCATTGTATATATATATATCTTGCTTCCATCTACGGGAGGAAGTACTTGGACGCAACAGCTCCTCTTCCTGCAGGAAATACACCGCATTATGGCGTAATATAAGGTAACAAGATGAGCAGACGGTGCTGGAAGGGGATCGTAAACTTCATTCTTCCTGCACCGGGGAATAACTGTTGAATGCAATGTCGTGATTTTTGTTTCGACGCGTTCGAGTACCGAGATGACCCCAAGTTGAGCCCCCTGGTCCTTCCCAAAAGGGATTAGTGGCACGATCTCGCTGTCCAGGAAAATCGAACATGGTGGAAGCCACGATCCATGGGTCCCCCTGCTTTGCCTGGGCTATTTCCATGTTTATCTACTCCATACATATAAGATAACTATCTCTTCTGCCGAATAACCAACAACAGGGCTGCATGGATTCTTTGCTGTCACGGGTCGGGGCAGAAGATGCTACGACGCCTGGTCAATGTGGGAAACAGAATGAGACCATTTGACCAAGGACAAGGGACGTTTGCAAGCAGCCATACGACGAGCGTGTCTACGGAGATCGGGCCACGCTGGTGGAATCAAGGGCAACTGCTCGGTGGTTTCTGCTTGTCAGGGCTGCAGCGGAAAACCCGGGCGAGAGGAGACCGTAGAAATGGATCAGCTCACACGTTATGTGAAGTGATTCCGATGACCGGGTGGTCTCGTTGAGAAGACCGCCATGAATTGGATGGACGATAGAAAATTATGAGGGTTGGGGATGTGGATAGAAAATAACTGTTTCTTCAATTTCGAATTTCGGGTGGATCTGCCCTGGTCAAAAGTCAAGCATGTTTCTGCTCCAGACCGTCAACACCGGTTCTACTTCAGTGCGATGCTGCATGGAAGATACCCGGGCAAGAGCGCAGATGACTAGACCAGTCCCACTTGATCACTGCGATTACCGGTTATCTTTTTAATCTTTAAACAATTCGACCAATATCATCATGACTTGAACGTTTACGATAAGTCTCAAAGCTAGGGAATTCTGAGTCCTGGTCGAAGATGGACCTTGGATGGAAATACCTGGGTATCTATCTTCATGATTCCTGGTGGGTCCTGGTCAGACAATTCTCTGCTTCAGACTACCTACAGTGCAGTCTGTTTCCACTCCAGAACAACCCCTTTTCTTTTTTCTCTTTTTTTCTTTACCAGCAGCATGCGTCGCTGGGAAGGAAAGCCCGACCAAGTGCAATGTGCAATTCGCCAGGCAAGATGTAACCGTCAGAAATGCCCGCCGTCTGCCCGGTTATTCTGAACGTTATTCTGAACGTTATTCTGAACCGCAGCCATCGTCCAGTTGGCACACACGGGTGTTTGTGCGCGGTAGAATCCCCACTGTTATGCACATGTAGATTTTGTTAGGTAGGCGACTCGCCGGCGAGACGGCAGTCAGGTATCTGAGTCATACCGAAACTTCCTGGCTGGATGAAGGTAATAGGGAGGAATCGGGAGACACAAGGCTTTGTTCGTATACTCAGACCTGATAATCAAAGTATGGAGCGAACGTACCTTTTCCCTAGCAGTTCTAGCAGGAAGCAACTAGCCTTCATTTCACAGGCACAGCCGGACTCTGTTAATTGTTTATAAATAATAGTTAAAAAGTATCAAGTTGCTACAACACTAATAATAGAACCAATACTACTTAATAAATTTCAACCATAAAANAATGGTGTGTGCGTTGGCGTAGCTGTTGAGGGTTGTCACGCCGGTGATGTATTCGGATGCGGGAGGAGCTAAAGTACAACAATGACCGTGTTAGCATAGAAAAGAGGCATATCCGCGGGAGATACTTGAGAGTAGGCAGCGACTTACACGAGGCACCAGGACCCGAGTTCGGGTTGATGATAATGTAAAAGTCGATGTCGGGGTATGTGGCCAGCGCATCGTAGACGGGATTCCAGGCTCCCTCGCTGGGCCAGGTGTAGAGAGGGAGTATGACCCCGGTTGCGGAGACAGAAGCAACGCTCGCGAAGGCGGCGGCAAGGTAATGAGCGAGAGAAGGCATTTGATGGTCGGGATTGAAGGAGTGTACTAAGAATAAAGGAGCGTGGGGGCTTCAAGCACCAGGCTGAAGCGATAGGAAGAAGGATAGTATGAAGTAGTAATGACAAAGATGAAGAGAATGATAGGTAACTAATGGACGAGCGACATCATGAGCGATCTATATAGCAGTGGGAGATTGCCCTCACAAGGTTGTAACTATAGCAGAGTCGTCGTACAATCAAGAAGTCCCCACCCGATTGGCTCAATCGTCATCAAATCCCCGATCTGGTATAAAAATTGCCCGGAATCTGAACAACCGGCCATCCGAAAGCTGTGCAGTAATTTTAAGGATCGCGCTAGCGGCAGATTCTAATGAAGGTTGTTTCATCAAATCCCCACCACCTTTAGATCAGGCACTGGTAACCCGCCGCGACGACCACATAGCCCACTCAGCTGAGCGGATGGGAACGGCTCCGACGGACCGCGACCACTGCAACGATGAAGGCCACAAGGACCACTGAGAAGGTAGCATCAACGCATCGATCAATCGGGTGCTGTCGAAACGTTTGGATTGACAGCAGGGCACGGGTAGTTCCAAAGACAGGAGTGTCGACGCCAAGACGGCGTGGGTGACAGTCGGAACAGCCATAGGCGGCGGTCTAGGTGACGAATCTCTGTTGACCGGATCAGGCTATACAAATCTCTCTCTTATTTGTCTGGACCAGGGTCTCGTTTAGCTCCGCCACTCATCTCGGCTGGGTTTTGTCCTTGACTGACGTGACGATACTGCACCTATGAGATTCTGACGCATTTGCTGACGGTTCCTAGTCTTGTAGTTTCTAACAATATTCCCCTTGACCATTGTAGGTACCATACTGGAATATACCATGAATCATGAGACCCGGAAGATCCTGAGACCTACGTGTTGACTCGCAGGAGCAATCGAAAGAGCCACAGTGAGCATCCCCACGCAAAGACTCATGGTTTTGAGGGGAGTATCATTCCTCGACGTGTGACTACTACCCACAGGGAAGAAAGTCTTCGATGGCGTCCTTCTGTGGAACAAAAACTACTCGCCCGTCATGTGATGGCACATATTCGGCAATACTTGAAGGGACGTTGTAAGCATGTCACAATCTTCGCGGATCGCTCACTCATACGCTCAGCGCCCATGGAACACCGTCCTGAGCCCAGTGACAGCAGCAGCCCGGACGAGGAGCTCTTGTCGGCACCTCCTTTCACGGCGATAGGGCTGTCCATGCCATCAATATCATGGCTGAACCAGCAGCTGGAGTCAGATGGTGATGATAGACCTGACATGGGAGGCGAAAAAGATTCCCAGCGCGAACAACCCCAGGATACCTGAGATGCCCTCAGCCAGGTTAGTCCTCGTTCGGAAGTCCTTTTCTGTACAGCTTCTCGGGGATACAAACTACAAACTGTTGGGTGAGTGCCAGCATTCCTCCGTCCTCGGACATGCCCTGATCGATGCCTTGCCGGCGAAAGACTAGGTTTCGTGGCAGCACCCTAGCTCCCAGAGCGCGCCCAAGGAGAATGACTGCACGCTCACGTGGCATCCCGTATATTGATTTTACCGCGGAGGCGCCAAAACTGAAGCGCCAGCTGGAACATGCCAGAAGTCGACAACAAGCCTTGGGTCGAGCGGGTCAACGAAGCAGTGGGGAGTACACGGCACTGTCTCGCGAGATAGAAGGGCTTTTGGCTCTGGTCACCCCCAGCCGATCTCTGCGGCAGCCAACGAAAAGAAGACGCCNCCTGACATGGGAGGCGAAAAAGATTCCCAGCGCGAACAACCCCAGGATACCGGAGATGCCCTCAGCCAGGTGAGTCCTCGTTCGGAAGTCCTTTTCTGTACAGCTTCTCGGGGATACAAACTACAAACTGTTGGGTGAGTGCCAGCAGTCCTCCGTCCACGGACATGCCCTGATCGATGCCTTGCCGGCGAAAGACTAGGTTTCGTGGCAGCACCCTAGCTCCCAGAGCGCGCCCAAGGAGAATGACTGCACGCTCACGTGGCATCCCGTATATTGATTTTACCGCGGAGGCGCCAAAACTGAAGCGCCAGCTGGAACATGCCAGAAGTCGACAACAAGCCTTGGGTCGAGCGGGTCAACGAAGCAGTGGGGAGTACACGGCACTGTCTCGCGAGATAGAAGGGCTTTTGGCTCTGGTCACCCCCAGCCGATCTCTGCGGCAGCCAACGAAAAGAAGACGCCTGAAGCGATAGTTCTCCGTTGGTGTTCGCTCCAAGGCACCAGCGGATTAATGTGTCATTCGCAGGACACAAGGGATTTTTGCGGAGCCTGTCCTCTCTTTCGTGGTGGAATATGCTTCTTAGAAATGGTGTAGCCTGAATATGGTCGATTTCATTTTACATGATGAAGGGATTGATACTCAGCCCGTGATAGAGTAAAATGAGGGTAGATCGTCGCTACGGGTAATACTGACCGGACGGTCGACAAAGTTCAGAGAATGGTAACCTAAGATCACGGTAGCGTAGTAGGAGCGCCAGCGTCTCTCGATAATTCAGGAAAGTTGTTTTGTTCTGGCCCATCGCCGCACCCGCGTGCTTGGTAAGAGACCCTCAGTTTCTTGCCTGTTACCCGGCACCCAGCCATCATGTTGTAGGTCGGAATCTGAAAATGAGTCAGACGGGCTAAATCGCCCATATTACCACCCACCCTGTTTTTTTAACCCCCACATCCGGCTACAAGCATCTAGATGAGGGTCCAGATGACATGACACCCGATGGGATACAAATACTCCTTTGCTCCCCAGACTGTCGACCTTGACCTGCAGGATGCCTCCAACGACATCTCCCTGGTACGACCGAATCTCCCACATATCGCAGACTGATTGGTATGGAATATGCGCCGCAATCGCTCTGGCCAGTTGGCTCGTATGGCGTCTGGCGTCCCGTGGTGGCCGGTGGGCGATCCGATGGCACGTGATGCAATTACGGCGACTCCTTGCCTATCCCCTGCCGAGACCGTTCGGCCACCTCGATATGGCCACTGTCCAACAGGGCTCAGTGGTCGCGCTCCTGCTTATGGTGAACATCCTGCCACTGGTCTTGCGGGCTCGATCCTGGGCTACCGTGCACCGCTGCGCCGCCAATCTCGCGGTCATGAATTTCATTCCGTTGTGGACTGGCTGGACCTTTGGGTTTCCTGCGCATCTTCTAGGCATCGATTGGTCGGCGGCAGCCTGGACGCATCGATGGGTCGGCCGGATGGTCATCATCCACTCCGTCCTCCACGGAGTGATCGCGATCCTGGGTGACGGCCAACCGGTGCAAGCTATACAACAGCATTACGTTCCAGTTCTGGTGAGGCATTTGCTCTGATTCCCGGGAAGATTCCGTGGGCAGTTCCCCCGGATATCGGTCGTCCGCTAACCAGAAACAGGCAGCGTGTTCGATGATCGTGATCGTTCCCATGACGCTGCATGCCGTGGTTCGCCGTTACCCGCAGCTAGCGATGAAGTGTCACTACCTCTTGGCAGTAACCGGACTGGCGTCGATGTCCTACCATGTCTGGATGCGCCGGTCAAAAAGCCTCTGGTGGTTGGTGGCGGCAGCGGCTCTGTGGACTTTTTTGACGCTGGTGTCCTTGGATGTTCCCCTAAGAAGGCGCTGGGGGCACTCCTGGCCTTTGGTTGTCATATCCCGGCACCATGAGCTTCTCAGTATCGACATCACCATTCCCTCTGGGTGGAGAGTCGAGCTCGGTCAATATGTGTACCTCTGGCTACCACAGGCAGACCTGCGACTTGCAAGCCAACTGCCGCTTTTTTATGTCTCGTCGTGGGAAGATACATCGACCTCTAAACTAACACACCTGTCCGGTCAGCACGCACAGATCTATGCGTCTGAGCAATCGGCCAGTCAAGAGGACGGGTTGAGGGAGCCAGAAATCTTGGTACCAGATAATACATCGCTGCGCTCTGCCGAACCAGTGGTGGAATGGAGACAGGTGGGGACAGCGGCAGAACGCGATGCAGCCGTGCCCACTGTCAGCCAACGGCATGGATCGAGAGGGAGGACCTCCTGGTATACTGCGATGGGTCACCGAACGCTACGTGTGCTGGCCCGCCCGCAGTCTTCGGCACTGGCGGCGGCGCTCTATAATGCCAAGCATCTCCACAATATTCCACACAGCGCGCTCGTGCTGGGACCGTACGGGCGAAAGCCGGATCTGGCCCCCTTCGGGATCGTGCTACTGACCGTAGAGGATATCGGGATTGCGCGAGTCTTTTCGCTCATCCAGACCCTGGTCCTGGCGAGTGAACAGCACCGCGCTATGGTTCGGAAGCTCATCGTGGTTTGGCAAATGGAGGACTTAGGTACCGCGCGTCGCAGCACCGCATCCTGTCTCCCCGAACGGTGGGCTGAGCTAACACGGTCTAGGTAACCGTCGGTGGGTGAACATGCAGCATTTGCTGGACCTCGATCGCCAAGAATTCAAGGTACCACGACCGCCGACCAGCCGGCGATCCATAGGCTGACCGTGATAGATCCTCCGATTCGTCCTCTACTACCGTCGAAACCGCAAGAATGAGCCCTCGCGGGACCCGGGCACGAGGGTTCGATTCATGAAAGGGTCTGTGGATGTGGCAGAGACGATAAAGACGTCCCTGAATACACGTCGGGGGAGTATGTTGGTCGGCGGTATGAACCCTCTTCGAGGTTTGGGAAAAGCTGATGCGTCCGATGAAGCCATGCTAACGGATCACTGTCTCCAGTCTGCGCACGACAGCTGATCTGTAACCAGGTCAAGGCCATCGTTCAGCCCAAGCTGAGCAATGACCTACGGCTCCTAGATCTTGACGTTGAGCCGTATCATCAGTGGTTGGACATTGACACAACGGTGGCCACTACCGGACCATCCAGAAACCACCTCCAATGGATCGCCTCCAGAATCGCTGAAGGCCGTGGTCATTCCAGCTGACCGATCTACCAACGGTCCCTTGTTTGACGAGCTCCCGTGCAAGTTCGATTGGACTACCAGGTTT